AGTATGAGAATGATACATTATTCTGGACTACTCTGGGAGTTATTGTCCATGTTTCTATTTATACAATATAAACTTTTTCTTGGACAGCATAACAGACTTGAATAACATCTTAGTATTTCTTTAAAAATTTAAGGGAGTTTTATAACACTTTAATCCACAATTTGAGAATGTGATAAGTAGAAACACATTTTAACTTTTGCTACTCAATCTAGGTTTAAGATAATAATGTCATATAGGTTAGACAATGGAAGTTGGTAGTGTCTATGAGATGTCCTTGTGCATCGCACCTTTTGTTATCAGATGTCAAATTCTTAAATAATGTTAAACATGAGTTTAGTGTTCTCACTAGTTATCAACTGATTTTTGAGAAAAAAAAATAAAATTGGAATCCTAAAAAACATAAAGTTTAGTTTTCTCACTAGTTATCACTTGTGCATCACAACTTTTATGTTTTCTTTCTCTATTTAAATAGGTGATGAGCAGACACCACTTGGCTGCCCTTTTATTAAAATAGGTGATAATACAGGTGGCTCATGTATTCTTCTTTTTATTTGCTACTTTTTTGTCAGTCACATTTTAGAGTTCATCTAGCAAGGAAGAAGTACAAAGAATTCCTTCGGAGTGTCGGTGTCCTCGAAAAAATCATGTTAAGATGGTATAGAAGAGGAGTTGGCTTACGAGGGTTTCGAGCTGAACCAAAACCTATTGTAGAGGAAGAAGAAGATGACATAATCAAGGTTTTCCGCCAACAAAAAGTTGATAAAGCTCTGGATGAAGCTCTCTCAAGGGTCATATCTGTGGTAGAGAGTCCTGAAGCACGGGAGCAATACCGCCGGATGCTTGAAAGCTACCAACAAGCTCAGGTAAAAAATTTGTATTAATATTGCACCATATACTTCCCAAACAACAAGTTCAGGCTCCAACATGTGCAGGTGGTGTTGTAGTGCATATTACTGTTTACCTTTGAACTAGCATGTAGAATGAAAGGTGCATATCTGTCATTTATTATGAAACTCTATCAAATCTTATTGACATTGCAAGAAACTGTGATTAACTTAACTAATTAAGCAACACACTAGTGTTTGGAGCTCTATTATAGTTTAGATCCCCTTTTAATGTGGATTTATGCTGAGGGAAAATTTTGTATATTTCATGTTTCCTGCCTCCTGTTTCCCCTTTTAAATTTCATTTAAGGTGACAGGCATCTTGCCCTTGGAGGTATTGTTTCAGTTGCATAAAGCTTGAATTGTGGTCAGCTGAATCCTAATATTTGGAAATTAAGAATCTGAGGTCTAATTATTAGAAGAATCTTAGAAACACTTAGATTGTGCTGAAAGTCTGTTCTGTGTTGCATGCTTTTGGCATTGCAAATAAAGGTTTCATTGAAGTTATTCTCTAGTTAATAATGTAGAGCACCCTATTAAACAGGAAGTGTTAGATTTCTTGAGTACTACTTCCCATATTCTTTTCTATCTGCTGACATTTTATCCCAAAAGTTCGTTAAACCAGCAATGAGTAAATGTGTTATTGGAAGAAATATCCTTGACTATGATTTTTTTTTTTTGTTTCTACAAGGATCATAATTTTTGCCTTCTTCACTTATCTTTCTTTGCAGGCTGAGTTGAGCCAGTGTGGATAATGGAATAACTGATATAATTATGAGCTTGGAAATACAGAGTGCTACACGCCTCAGTTGTATAAGAGAAGATTTGCTTAAGGTTGGTTGAACAGTTCTTGGAAACCAGAGGTATATCAGATAAGATGTAGATATTGGTATATATGATTAAAGTAGCATCGTATGTCCTTGCAGAGGCAGTAAGCTGTTCATTTTGTTAATGCAAATGGAACCTAGTTGTTGTACATAATTCTAATTCGTATAGTTGGTTTTGTCAGCATGTAATTGCTTGTTACATGATATGCTGTTTTAGCTCCAGATATATTGATATTCTGAAGTCAAAGCTAGCTTCTGACTTAGTTTATCATATTCCTTTATTTTGGTAAGTTTGACTATCATATGTGCTGTTTTTTGTTTTAAATTTGATCTTGTTTATATTTGCTTGTTAGATGATTGGTTAATCTTGTTTGATCTTTGTTTCAAAGTTGTAATCTAGCTTCTAGTTTAGTTCCTCATATTGCTATATTTCAGTCAATCTCTTATGCTTTGGGTTTTATTTACTTAAGGTGAAAAGAGCAGAACTATCTAATGCCTAATTTTGATCTCATTGAAGTTTGACTTGTTCATTCTATTATCTAAAGAATTCATAATAAATATGTAATGGGACTACCTTTCTCCTTCTCCGCATGACCAATTCTTTTATCAGGTATGGAGGGGGCAACAGGGCATGCTTACATGTTCTTGAGCATAATTATTCAGAGATGAATCATCAACCACCCTCAAGATCTAAAGCTCGGAAACAAACAAATAAATGCCCACCATCCTATGCTGGTTCAGATATTTATTTCTTTGATGCCTCTTGCAGACTGATGATACTTTACAAAGAAGAAGATAACCAACTCTTTATAGATGCAGGTAGCTCGACAGTTGGAGAACATCAGTTATGACTCCTTGGGCGCTAATTACGTATTACCTATGTAGTTAAACATCTTTAGTATCCTAATCCTTAAATTAAAAAAATTATATTAATTTTTTTATAATTATGAAAATGAAACATTTAGCCTCATCTATCTTAATATCGTTAGTTTTCTCGACAGAAGATATAGCATATGATAAAAATAATAGGTAAAAATATAATTTTAACATCCAAGTTATGTTTTTATTTATTATGCCCTAATTAAAATTTTTTAGTCGACTATTATGGTGGTGGTGGATGGCGACGTTATCAAGAGTCTCGGGTGGCTGTTGTGGTGGTGGTTGATGGGAATGATCTTGTGATCGACTTTGTCGATGTCGATCCGAGCATCAACAACTGAGGCAGGGGCAACGATCGTAACAACGATGGAGCTTAAGGGACTTCTATGACTTCTTGTTGAGAGCAAAGGAAGAGGAGGGAAAAAGATAATGAAAGGTGAGGTAAAGGGAGAGGAGGAAGAGGACAAGGACAATGGATACTTTGCAACATCCTGCACAACTGTGTCAACGTCATTATGCATCTACGTTGGTGGGAGGTAAGGAAAAAGCCTTGTGCCCGTCCACGTAGATGTAGAGTAACACCGACGCAGATGCCTCACCTCTCGTTGACACGTATACAGAGCAATATCGAAGGGGAAGAGAAGAGAGAGCAATAAGTGGAGGGTGTATCGATCGACATCCTCCACCATTCGGACCTCGAAATGTTCGATTGAATGAGATTGCGAGAGCTTTGTCGGCCATTGCCTAGATTACAATCTAACCACCCGCCTTTGGCTTCCAATCCATGCCTACCTCCTTCCGCTCCTCTTCATCACCACGATTGTGGGTCCATAACGATGGCAACATGATCATGCGATGGGGCAACAGTTTCAAGCTAAAGACCCATAGCATCTATAGTAAGGGTGACTATAGATAGTAGGTCGAGGTTGTCATTGACGGCTTGTTCGGTGAGATTGGCATGGCAATCGAGGCAAGTTATGTGGGAGGCGAGCTAGGTGTCAATGCAGTCCAAGTGAAAAACGTGGTTGTAACGAGGGAGGAGGCAAAGCTCCTCGTTATCCTCGAACTCGCTAAGGCACACCATACACTCGAGCGCCCCCTTCCGCACCTTCAGGTCCTTAACCTCATAATACAACATCGTGAGGAATGTTTTGAGGACCTGGGGGCTCAGCTCCTACTGCCGTCGAGAGAGAGCTACACCTCCCGCGATGCGAAGGCACCATTGTCCGCAACCATCATAATAATCGACTAAGAAGTTTTAATTAGGATATAACAAAAGAAAACGTAACTAAGATGTTAATTTTTGCACATCGATTTCGTATTATTCTTGCACATGTTATCGCGTGTTGTATCTTTCGTTGATAAAACTGATGGCGTTATGATCAATAAGATTAAATATTTTATCTTTATAATTATAAATATTTCAATGTAAATAAATTAAAATTAATTAATTCCTCTCGAGAGAGTTTTCATTGCTGAAAGCATAGTTCATCGAGAAGACAGAGCTACATTGATCACCCATCACCAATTGCCTCCTGACCCAACCCCACCAACCATCCAATGGTAGTGTTTGCGCTGCCACCCTTAACCTAGGTTGATAATGTTTTGGCCACCCTCCCTGCTGTGAGCCTGTGGTGGTTGCTGCAATTCTATGCCCTCGCTCCCATCACAGTCTTTACACCGTATACTGACAACAGAGAGGTGGGATTTAGTTTTTATCACTACTGACGTTGAGCTCAGTGGAGTCCCAATTGATAACCGTACCTGCAGATCCAGGCCTGGAGTGAAGGAGCATTGAAGACCCAGAACAATGAGTTTGGTGTGGGAAAGGGGAAAAGACAACCCATGTCACACACCAGCAAGCCTTTGTTGTCATTTGAACCACCTCCAATCCTGATGCCCTCATGGGACAAGCCTGTTAATTGGATGGGAATGTGATAAATAACCTCATTATGCTCCCCAAGCATGCTCAAAGGGCAATAGATTCAATGCAGAGGACACGCTGTGGACATCAACTTGAATGATACATAATGCTGGTAGAAGAATAAGGGTCCAAATAGTGGAGCAACCAGACTACCTAAGGATTTAGCCAACGGATGAGGATAGGTAATACGGAAGGCCTCTGCAATCCAACTAAACAGCAGTAACGAAGTAATAGTTATCAGAAACAATTTAGGGGGGTAAACATTCAATAGGAAGCCACTAAGCTGCTTGACAATGGTGTTCCCGGAGTTCCGTCAGAAAATTTCCAGGAATTTTCTTGTTCTAAGCTTATTGTTACTGTAAAATGTAGTTTGGCTTTCTGTAATGGAAACCTATCGATGTATACTACTGCACTAAGACATGCCGAAGAGTAGAGCTACAAACACCAGTGATCATCATAAAAGTTCACTTGCACAGTCGAGCTGCATTGAGATTTACCCAGCAACACTAAACCTGGGTCAAATATAAAACTCTTCCTTTGATCATGTGTTGGTGACAAGAAGGTTCCTTTTCATGGCAGTGGAAAGAAAACACTAAAAACTTGAAAATATGCATAGTAAAGCAAATCATGAAAATGGGCTTGAGAAGAGTAAGCCGCATAAGCAACATACTAGGCATTCTCCATCGGAAAACACATTGCTTTCGTAAACACTCTAGGATTAGTGATAAAGGCAGAAGCTTTCTCTCGTGGATGCATAAACAGGCCGACAGCCTTACCTAGGCGGTGGGGAAGGAACATGTGATTTAGCCATTCCGACCCATACAACAATACCGACCACAAGAATTGCCCAGCCAAGTATATCATACTTTAGATCGCTGCTTACTTTCTTCTTGGGTTCCTGGGATTCAACAAAAAGGAACCAGAAATTGTAATCATTTCATGGTAAGAAGGGGCACCAAAAATTGAAAAGCTGAGGCTAGTTAATTTATGGGTCAGATCACAATCATAAAAGAGTTCATATATCAACCCTATTGCAAGACAAAGTTGAGCAAGCTAGCATGACTTGCATCAAACAAGCAAAACTCAAGCCACACTTATCTGACACTAAAAGCATCACCACATTAGTCTGCTGCCAAAGAAGCCAACAAAGTTGGGATACGGGTGTTGCTTAGCAGCTTCGAAAGGCAACAAATGCAACATATATGGTATCAAAGTGTACTAGGGTATAAATGCCTGAATTTACAGAAAGTAGCAATGCTACAAGAATAAAGGGCTTAGTGGGAAGTTGCGTCATGTGAGAATTAATATAATCTTGAACTACAACAGGAAAACGCAAGAAAGCAGATGATAGCTATAATCAGTTCATTTATATACTTCAAGAAAACATATGCACTGGATGCACACGTGATAACTAACATGCCTCAACAGAATGCTGACCAATATTCTAAAACTGAAACAGGGAGTTCGTCCATCGCTTGGCTATGTTGCAAGAGGTAACAGGCAAATCTAAACCAAATAAATCCACTGAATATGGAAATCTAAAACGAATTAAAAGGATCTAAAGAATCCATTTAATAAGTCACTAGTTTAACCGTGGAATATGAAAATCTCTGAAACGAAGGTATTTCACTAATGAACTGGCAAAACATGTCCACACGAAAAGGCAAGATAAATCAATCGAAAGGAATGCTGAGTTTACCATGTACCAAATTTATACTCTAAAACAAACAATAGTTTGAAGAAAAGACCAACCAATACAAACTACATTTGTCAAACTAGTCAGACCTCACATAAAGAAGTAATCTAAATGTCAATGTAAATCTTGCAGCGGAGAAGCAAAACAAGAGCATTAAACATGCAAAAGTGTTGCATCAAGCAGAGAAAATAGAACATATAGCTGATTTTGCATTGACATATGAACAGAATAAAATGGTAAAATCTGCTAGAAAAGAACATTATCTTTCTTCTGGAACAGGACAGCCATACCTTCCTGCTCGAAGCAGAAGTTGTTACATGTGGAGCCTGTTGACTTGCCATTTGCCTTTGGAGCTCTAGATGCAATTCAGGTGCCTGAGGAAGATGTAAATACTAAATTTCAGATGAAGGCAGTGTGATGTTACACACAGTTGAGTAAATAGAATGGGAAAAGGCATTTCTCCACACTAAAGATCACCGAATTTCTTTGGAGTTTTTATACATCTCTATTTAGTTCTTGTTTCCCAATAAGTCCAACACAATCAACGATCAAACTAGTGTACATATTTACAGCATTTACAATTGGGAGAGTTTCTACCTGATGAGCATATCAACCAACAAAAACTGATGTGTGAAAGACTTGTCAAAAAATATTCCATATCAACTAGCTGGGCAACAGATTTTTACCCATTGGCACAAGACTGAAATCTATTAATTGCAGTTCCATGAGGCGAAAAATATGCAAAACACTGAAAAAACCAAAAGCAACTCACTAAGTATACACATTCTCAACGGCTGAAAGCTTATTCAAAATCACATTTCACATCCTACATTGCCTGTTTTCCTGCTAAGTATACACCAAAAAGGCACAAACTCTTTGCCAAGAGCAATAGTATAAATAGTTTTAACATTTTGAAGCAAATCCAGAGACCCACTAGCAAAAAAAAGTCAAACATATGTCAACAACCAAATGCAAAACCAAAAAGGGAGGATAAAAATCAAGAACAGCTTGTATTTACACGCACTTTCACATGCTTACATATAATCCCAAAGTCAATGCCTATAGAACTGTCCAATTATCGATGGTGACAGACTTTCTTGTACCATCCTTCGTCTCATGTCAAATTATATGGATGAGAAAATTGGTTAGTTCCAGGTTCTCATGCACCAAATATAGGCCGGTTCTCAAGTTTCATAGCTCCCGTACCATGATTTAGAATATCAGAAATCTACTTAATTATGGTTCATCTTGTAAAAGTTGATGCTGATAAAAAGAAGGGCTCAAAAAAGAAAACAGATGAGAAAGACCAATGCAGGAAAAAGAAAAACCATGTTCACACACAAACAACAGGCATTATACAATCCAATAGCAATATCTCAAGTGTTGGCCTTGTTAACCTAGGAGGCCCTACATAAGTCACACGAGGGAAAACTCAAGCTCCTAAATGTCAATGTGTTGATAGAATAATGGTGTATACTAAGGAGAAAAGTCATAAATGCCAACATATCAAAAGTAAAATGGTATAGCATTATATTGGCTTTCATTCTCTTACTGGACACCTACAATGTTAAATTCATGCTACAACTACATGAAAAACACATCCACTAATCAAATATATAAGTAATTATTCACCATCCCAAACAACAATTAAAAAAGCTCAAGTTCTTGTGGTTCGCTAAATTTCCTATACAAAGTTATACTCTCTGCTAGTTGCAAGTGACCTGCACCCCAATCACGTGAGTGATGGCACATGTGAAACGCTGCACAATCTTTTTGGTTATTATGATTTTTTCTCATTTTATATTGGATAATGAAAATATATTATGATGTCCTTGGATCTGTGCAATAGAAATTGGATTATGATAAAATCATGATAATGAGACCAATTCGACTTTAAACACATATCATTAAATATTCCTGGTCATAAGTTACTCAAGAAAGACATCGAGATAACCGAATAGACCGATGTGCTATATACCCGTCCATATGATGGAGGCAGCTGGTCTCATAACTGTCAGTATGGGGACACTATGGATATAGTGCAAGTGCTCATTGGAGAATGAGCTTACTGAATGATCCGCTTATGGAATGCTGGTTGGTTAATGATATATTATCATCAGACAATAATTTCGTAGTCTCAGTTGTATGTCTAGTCCTTAGACTTGAGACGCCAAGGATGTTAAGTACTCCACTATTTGATACCGAACTTATAGGTCTGAAAGTTTCAGATCTAGCACAGCCGATCATCGGAAGTGGTAGCCAACCTTACGAGGGCAATTGGACGTCAATAAAGGATTATCCACTCTCGACATCATGAGAGGAATATCTCATGTGCTCTCACTCAAGCAAATCCCTAGCTAAGGTCAATCGGATTGTGATGAATCCAATAAGCGTGAGATTCAAATTGAGAGATGAGTTCTCCGAGAAAATCCGATTAGAGTAAAACTTGAATAGATTTCGTACGAGCCTGACAACGTCATGCCTAGTATATGATCTTTGAGATAATAAATGAACGAAGGACTATAGATACACAGTAACTGAGGGCAAACAAGTCCAATGAATTAGATTCCCCTGTACCGTCTAGGGACTATAGCGTAATGGCCTAGTACATTCGTAGTCGATTAGTTAAGTAAATTATTATGAAGATAATAACTCATTGAGTCAAAAGGAGTTCTGGCAGGTGCATCTCACGGCCAGCTCGGTATTGAGCCTAGAGAGACAAACATCTGGTGGACAATGCGACGAATAGAGGATCGGATATGGGATATCCGATAAGCCCCTGTTTTAATGGATCCTTAGGAGAGACCCAATAGAGCTTAGGATGATTATTTGATGAGAATCTAATATCCATTAAGCTAGGAGTTATTGGAGGAAGATCTAATACCTAAAAAGAGGATCCATTAAGGTTAGTTAAAGGAAACTCTCTATAAATAGGAGTTGGGACTAAAATAGATCATAGGCTAGACCCCTACTGCCACCACCTCTTTCATCTCCTCCCTGCCCCTTCCTCCAGTGGACGACCCCTCTTTGGTGTGAGAGGACAACAAAAGGGATCGATCCCTCCTTGGTTGTTGTGGTGTGGTAGTGCACGAACATAAGGAAATAATGTGCTATAAGTTGAGGAGCATCGTCGCTACATCCGCTGTGTAGATCACCGCTAAAGAGAATTTTGCGATAGCTACTTCATCCACGGAAGGGGATCTACAGATTTGGGGATATACGATCTCCCTTAAGTGAGAGCGTCTCAACCACTTTATACAATTACGTGATTTAGTCGCTTTCGAGTTTTATGCTCTCAATTTTCGCACAATGATTCGATAAATTTGTTTTTCGGAAATCAGTTTTTGTTTTTATTTTCCGTTGCGCATGTGATGCTCTTTGCGGTTTCCTAACACACTCAATCTACAGCCCCTATAGCAACATAACTCTAGAAACTGAACTAGCAAAACAAAAAACAAAAAAGAAGCTAAAAGAACCCTAGGTCTCCACTTTACTAATAACTATAAAAAGTATTTCACGATTGTTTGGCTCTAAGAAGACATTTATTAGTTAATATCAGTAAAAGAGCTTCGTTAGCACTATCGAAAGATATAAATTTCCCACTAATGTCTTATATCATCATTGTGTTTAGCATATGACATTTAATGAGAACCCCTGCCCAAAAAGATGATTATAGAATCTATCTTGGGTGAAAATAGGCCAATTTTATCGTTCCAAAATTATTTTCTTTTCCGCATGGAGCTGGATAAGGTAAAACAAATGAGTTTCTGCCATTTTAATATTTCCATCAAATATTTGCATTATAATGCAGATTTTGGTTAGTTCCTTTCATATATGGAAATCTGAACTTCCAAATATATTTTAAAATAGTTTTTTCTTTATTAGCCGAAGCAATGATGTTTTTGATAGAAACATGATTGATAGGTTCAAATAATCATCTTATAACTATTTTCAGGCAGTATAAACTCATAACTACCAGTCTGATTTAAATCCATACCTATCATGTATCTTATTCATATTCATATTTGTTTTATAATCACAGTTAACAAAGTTAGTACACCTGATATGTATTTGTTGTTTTACAATCTGTATAGTATGGCACCAGTCCTTAGTTGACTGGTAAATATCAGTCTTTGTAATCATTGCCTATATCACACTACCTCAGATATAAAAACCAGAACCACAGAATAGAAAACAAGATCTTTAGAAAAACCAGCTCTGCTCAAAGCTAAAGATGGACAAGAAAAGAACAAATAATATACAAATAATCAACATTTACTAGGTAGAATATTTCCATGAACTAATTGACACGTTATAGTCTCACTACATATAACTGATAATAAACATATATACCTTCGCTGACAAATCCAGTGACTTAAGATACAGCTCGTTTCCAGGATCCTACAATAATCTGAAAATCTTAACACAAACAAAAAAATAACAAATAATCATGGAGAAAGAACTAAACTGGATCATTGTGTGCGCAAGAGCGTTACCAATTCCACGGCCTGCTTGAAACACTGAGTTGCCTTGTCAAAATAAACCATAGCAGTCTCATGTTCCGGTGTGAAGAACGCATGAGAAGTATGGGCGTTTCCCAAGCACCAGACCGTATCATGCTTGCTCGGATTCACCCCCAAGGCTTCCTCCAATTTGGATATAGCATCTTCAAGAATAAGAGTAAGGGAATTATATGCAACCCGTACAAACTTGCAATGCTGATATTTCTTTCTTTTCCTCTAACTCAAGTTTGCAGAAAACTATCCTTTTCAATTGCATCTGTAAGAAAAATTCTGCTCTAAATTCCATCCTACGGACCTTTAACCATCTTTATGGAGTCATCACCACTCTGAAACGAGGATAGCTCGAGAAGCGCTCCTCCCCACCTCGTCAGATTCTAACACCACGATGACACAATTCCATCACCAACCATTCAAAATAGAACATCGCAAGTTCAAGAAAACCGATAAAGGTGTAGGGAACACGCAGCGATATCGTTCATGGAAGCACCGAATAAGTCAAGAAACCAAGTGATTCGATCGAATCTAATTAATCCACACGCTGAAAAAGGCCAAATAGACGGGAAAGGAACAACACAAAGCGAGGTATGTCACGCACATCGGCGTCAAGCGGGTTCACGGCGTAAGCCGCCTCCGCTGCCTTTCGCGCGTGCTCGAAGAAGACGAGCCGATCGAAATCGTTCGGCTGCAAATCCATGGTCGCAAAAGATGAGAGGAACAGCTTAGTCGCCCCACCCTCTCTCAACGAACTCGAGAGGGAGATTAGGGTTTATCGAACGAGGGGATCTTGGACTACTCATGACGCCCTTCAAGGGGCCGATCTTGTTGCCACGGTTGCGGCGACCCCTTCGGACGCGTATGCAATATTTCGAATCTCGATGCATCGTTTGGGTCTAACTCCGGTCGGTTCGGTTCGGTTCGGTTCGGTCCAATTCGGTTCCCAAAAATTTTCAAACCTGCTTCGATTTTTTAAGATAAATACAAAATGCAACCGAATTGGATCAAATGTAATTTAACCTTTGCATATCTATTTTTTTTCCAACTTTTAGATTTTCCATAAGCTTTGCAAAAGATGTATATACCCCTTTGAATATTTAAATCTTTTGCATGTATCACTTCTGTTGGTATCCATCTAATTAATACATTCAAAATTAACGACCATTAATTATAAATATAAATGAATTTAAGATACATAAACAAATTATTTGACATGTCTTGATTCTGGTAAGAGCTCCTTGGGATGTAGCACAGAGCTTGGATAAGCAACATCAATTCTAAATATCTCATTCTTAAAGCAATAACAACTCTAAATGTATCATTCTTAAAAGCTCTGCAACCTTATTCCCTTGTAATGTTTTTGGGAATGAAGAAGCTGGATGCTTAAGCTTGGATAGAAACTGTTTACAAGTATATTCACATCAACTAAGATTCAGCCACAGAAATAATCTCACAAACTGTAAGGACAAAGTCATGTATATTGAAGGAACCTTATACTAAACTCCATATTAGAAGGAACCTTAAGCACTAGATCGTTTATTTTACATAAATAAAAGGCAATGGATACAGAAACAAGTTGAAGTGCAGATCCTAACATTAACATCGATCATTAAAAAGATTAGATGTAGGATGGTACAAACTGCAACAGATCAAGGCCTCCTTCCGACAATTTTCATGTGAACTTTCTTCCAATTTTTATGAATTGTGAGGCTACTTCCCAACTCACTCTATAAAAGTTATTCACATGAGGAACTGATGATTACCTTATGCTTTTTCTACACTTGATCTCCACTCGGTTAGGAAGGCTGAAAAATCTCTTCTTGTGCGTTGAGCAGAAACCTGCAAAACAATTCACACATAATGAAAAGGAACATGGGGCTGACTTGCAAATGAGAATTACTCTACTTCTTACCCTTCTCAACAGCATGAGCCACAAGAAAAGCATGAGAACCATCTTTTCTCTCCTGCAGCAGGAGCTGCTTTTGGGGTCCCAGTCTGCAGTGGAAGCTGCTCTCCCTTATCTACCTGCGGCGATTGTCCAGGTTCCGCCTTTAATGAGCCACCACTTCTTTCACCTGTCAATCTGTTTCTACACATTTTAGTTGGGCAACCCAAAATTCAAGTTCACAATCACATATTTAGGCAGGAAATTTAAACAAGTAATTCAGTTTGCATGTAAGCTTGTCACTATGACAACCTCATCCCAATAGTTTATGTGTAGTACCAGAAACTGACATGTTTTCATGTTCATGTGCATTGTCAAGAACAGCAATGAATGATTAGTCAGCTCAAGTGCATGAGCAGTGATCATACATCGGGAAGGCAAATGATTCATCCGAGCGGTATAATGAGTTAGTGGGCAATGTTGAACCCTCCTCAGCTGAATGCTGCTCTTTTTTAGCATGTTCCTCTGCATGTTCCGGCAAGACATCCTTCATGGCCTCAGCATTTGCTGCCGCTGCAGCAGTCAGCTCCAACGAAACCTGCTCTGCATCGATTCCGGCCCGGTTCAGGCCTGAATCAGTGGACATCGGCAGGTGTTCCACTGGGCCAAGGACATGGTCCCTGGACAAGCTAGAATTTCCTACATGGATGCTAAATAAAGACTCATTGGAGGCCACACTCCAATCTTTTTGTGTTGTTGATTTAGTCCTTGTAAAGACGGAGGAGGGAATTCGATCTGGGTCGGAAGCATTTGACATCTCCATTGCCTGAACAGGAAGAGACTGCCTTGGTTCGAGAGTGCTGGAGGTGTCTGCTCCAGCACTGCTAGCTGAAGTATCAGGAAAGAATTGCTTGCCCCCCGGTTGAGGTCTTGCAGGTATATTATTGTCGTCAATGAGATCTAAGAAACCACCAGTAATTGTAGCTGCACCAGTTCTTGAGCTACGCCTCCATGTTGAGGCAGTGAAATGACATGCTGAGCTGAGTTGGATCCAACCAGAGAAAGTCCTCCTCAAATTAGTCAACAGATGTTGTGGAAGATGTGCTTCTTTCTCGATTCAGCTCTTGTTGCCTTGTTTAGCCCTCTGACCTTTTATGACACCGTATAATGGACCTCTCTGCAGAAGTTCAAAATAATTATCTCAAATCATATATACTTGATTAGGAACAAGCAAGACTGATAGAGTGAAGACATATGATGTACTTGGGTAACATGGAAACAACAAATTAGATGAGCTAAATTCATACTTGCTTCAGTAGAAACTAATTAACGTGAAGATTAAAACTAAATTCATATTGCTTTTATTATCCTGATGGCTAAGGTTCTTTCATGTTTATCAAGACAAGACAAAACAAACTGAAGTTACAAAATTAAATTATTCCACACAGAAATATCCAATGTGCTTGCCTTTGTGCCATAAGAAATCTTAACTTGCTAGATCAGTAAAATAAATAAAAGAAGAATGCTTAGAAACTATAAATAAAGAATTAAATATTCTAAAATTAAGAGATTTACTGTTTTATTTTTATTATATTGACTTCTTTCATGCATAAATCACTATTAAATATTAGTAAGAACCATTAGAAACATTGATTGAAGAAATCATGTCTATAATCCTTATCCATAAGAACAAAGACAAAATAAACCAATCATAGTAAATTGGACTCATTCATAGAACTAAGTTAGTTCAAATCAGCTGCAAGAAAGAAAAAAAAATCTGTTGTCCCTAATCACCTCAGAACAACATATTAGGGTGGTAAACCACTCTTCTGTTAGTCCACTTCATTCTGATTTTTCAAAACCAGTATTATAAGGACTAAGAACAAGAAGCTGCATCTAAGCTATTATAATGTTCCTTAACTCATTTCCTTGAGGTAAATTGGAACCCTTGCTTCAGTGGTCCTCTTTCTCATGGCGTTCCATGTTTCTGTGATTCTTAAAATGGATGGAACTTATGGCATTCAGACTTTTAACTATCTCAGGTCAGCTGTATGGATTTATCCTCTTCACTGGATGTTTCCAATGGATTGCTATCATCCTCCAAGATCATTATAGAAAGTGCACAAACAGTGCTAATACTCGAAGAGTCATCTGATATAATGAACATGAGGAATAGACATGCCCAAGACATTCACAACTTGTGTTGAAATAGTGGAAGCAGTCCAAAGCATGAGGTTCCTATCACAGTACAATCTTAGATGCTGATGTTCATGACTTATCAACCAGACCTTTGAAGAGGCTGCAGGTTAAAATCCTTGACGATTATCTGGTTGGCATCACCTCTTCACGTATTTTCAGAAAACAGAAGGAAAAAAGGAAGAAAAGCATAGGTCTTATCCACCTTTTTGTTAAGGAATTTTACATATTGGCATCTCATCTAAGGTAGATGAAGCAACCTCGCTACCGTGTCAAAGCCTACCCTTGCTTGGGGCCTGGAAATCTCAATTGAAACTTCTTATAGAAGCTCAAAATAACATCATCATCATCATGTCACTTAAAATTTTGTTTTTTTAAGCTTAATTTGTAATCGAAACTGATCGTTAACCTAAACATATGTACAAACGAAAACAAGAATCGCATCAGCTGAAGATTGACAAAAAGGGAGAGGAAAAACAAGTTATTGTAGAAGAAAACGCTGCCTAACACACTGACCAGGATCGTTCGAGGAAGATGATGCCTTGCATTTGGGTTCTGAAAGGTAAAAGGGAGCATACAAACGCAGCCTTCTCCAAATAATCTGGGCCCTGCAGAAAGGCAAATATGATCAGATACGCTGCTCAAGATGGTGATTCCATGAAATGTATATACATGTACCTTCACTTTCACCTTCGATTGTTCTATGTTTAACAACAGGAAACAAAATGGGAGAGAACAAACTATACAAGGAACGAAGGCGAAGGCCGAGCGTCGCTTCCGGTTCCGTCCTTGTTGGATCGGATGGAGGAGATGCTTTCAGGGATATCTTACAACTGGATCGAATGCTCTGATCTGAGGCCTGTCGAAGAACCAACCGATCCGTGATGTTGATCTCCGCGCGATCGCCAATAGACGGCGAGACGGCGGGAGATCCGAGATTGCAAGGGAGATAACGGCGGCGAAAGCGACCCCGTGACGGGGCCCACGTCACGGTGGAGGACTTTCTGGTCCCGGACCCACCTGATCTTTCTTGACCAACGGTCCCAAGTCTCCCAGAGGAAACAATAATAATAATAATAATAATAATAATAATAATAATAATATTATTATTATTATTATTATTATTATTATGGATCAAAGACAACACGAAATATTTTAAAATCCAATAAATTATACTACATGACATATACTTATTAAATTTCCTTAGTTATGTGATATTATTTTTGCAAATCAATAACTCGTCCAGAGCCTAATTATTGGGAGCTGAGGTTAAATCCAATTATTAAAATTATTTATTTTTTTAATTTTATTAAAATAGAAATATCATACTTAAAAATCGTTTGAGAGATTATTATAGGTCTTACTTTTTTTTTCAAAAGAAAGAAAGTTATAGTACTTCAAAACCCTAGTAAAAAAAAAAAGCTCCAAGAATCAGAGCAAAGTGTCCTGGCCAGTTGGAAAGCATTTAATGTCAAAGGTGAATTTTATGTACAAAGAGCGACAGAAGTGGGTAGATTTTTTATACATTAGTAACCATTTGTATCTAATTTGATAGTTGTTATGTTAGATTTGGATTATTTCATTGGATGTTAATTCGTATCCAACAAATATTATTTCTTATGTTTTATGATGAAATGATGTGAGTATGCATCAAGATCATACCCAACAAAATCTCTTCCAATAATATCAACCGGACAAGATGAGACGAGAAAAAGATGAGTGAAAATAAGAAAGAGTCGGAGATTGATGAAGAAGAATACAAAGATGAACACTAGATGAAATAAGAGTAAGATGATCGAGACGAAGACGAAAGTTTTCATCTTTATCACCGGAGATCTTTCAAATCTTGGTGGATGAATCAGGAGAATGGTAGTGGCATAGTATGACATAATTATAGTGTGCGATGGGGGGTTAATTATATATTATCTATTATAGTTAGACATATTTAGTATCTCGATCTCTAGACTTAAAAAATTTATATTTAAATATCTATAATTATAAAAATAAAATATTTAAACTCATTTATTCTAATATACCAGTTTTATCGATGAAAGATACAATAAGTGACAGAATACGTAAGAATGACACAAAAATAATAAGTAAAAGGATAATTTCAACATCCCAAGTGAGGCATCTGTGTTAATGCCACTCTACAACTTTGTTGCGGTAAGGCAAAGTCCTTGTGTCCCACGGATGCAAGTGCAAAGTAGCATAGTGTCAACACAAATGCCTCACTTACCATCGACATAGATGCATAGTGGCACAAAATGTATTACAACTCCGGAGGAGAAAGAAGAGGGAGAGTGATAGCATAAGATAAGGCGAAATGGGATGAGGAAGAGGATGAGGATGATGGCCACGCTAACACAGATACAGAGCGACATTGATTTAGATACAAAGCATCGGCATATGCAGCTTCTGCTTCTCTGCATTGCCTTATGTTTATATTAATATCGACATAGATGTAGAGCATCAGCATCTCTGGCTTCCGCTCTGCATTGCCCTGCATCTATGTGTTGGGAAGAAACCTGTTAATGCGGAATAATTATTTTCCCTCTTTGTGTATCAAAATAGGTCCCTCATCAAAATACCAACTTGATATCAAAATGCTAAATCAATCAGCACAGCATAAACAACATAGCAATAAATCAATCACACAGTGAGACCAAATCTTTTTAACGTGGAAAACCCAATGTGGGAAAAACCACGGGACCGTAGTCCACCTCAAACTTCCACTATCAATAATAATGATAACAGGTTTACAATAGGTCTTCTCTATAATAACTAGAGGATCAGAATAACATCAAGAACATAGATCTTGGCTCAAGAATAGCATATCTTCATCACGTAGGATGGATCTCCTCAAAAGAGAATTCTAGGTCTCACGGAATGGATATCGTAGGAAAGTACCTTAGAGAGGGTAAACTGCAGATCAACACCGTTAGGATTGTAGAGTTTGCTGCAAGGATTCTCCACATAAAATTTGGGCCGAAACTGACAACGTTTGGCCACCGATCGTCAAGCAGAAAAACTCAGAAACCTTACTTTCTCTCTCTGTTTCTCTCTCCTCTTTTCTCTGCACGCTGCAATCTCACTGTGCGCACACACCCTGCACGTTGCCCAATTTTGCCCTTTCTCTCTTAATTACTGATTTGGGCTCAATAGACCCAATTGTCCAAGCCCACATATGGACTGGACCCAACAATTCTCCCCCTCCAGCTCATATGGTGGGTTGTACCAAGCCCGCTCTTCGCCTACATGCTTCAAGCTTCTCCTTAGGCAAAGACTTTGTCAACATATCTGAACCATTATCATTGGTATGCACCTTTTCCAACTGTAATTCTTTCATCTCAAGCACATCACGAATCCAGTGATATCTCACATCAATATGCTTGGATCTAGAATGGTATGTTAAATTCTTGGAGAGGTGAATAACGCTTTGACTGTCACAATAAACAGTATATCCTTCCTATTTCAAGCCCAATTCCAGTAGAAACTTTTT